TGTTTTCGCGAGAAGGATGTGATCCTGAACCTAGATCTTCCCTTATGTAAAGACAGCTAATCACTGCATGGGCCATCTCAAAGTATGGGAACACTTTTATCTTAATCACGGCATTAGCAATATCGAGAAATTGCTCTGGATCCATCTTTGATCGGTGAACTTATACAACCTTCAATTACCAAAGTAAAAAAGTTGTTGACTATGTTCTTTGTTTATGAACTATGATGAACTATGATGAACAATGGTGATAGAGCAGCTCACCAAATTAAAACACAGTTATAGATGAAGCGATAGATAGTTGATGGAGTAAATGGTGGAAAGATATTCTCATTTGGCTTCTGGACTTGTACCAGTACAATGGGTTATGATGGTGATTGTGATGGAACCAAAGATATTTTGAAGCAACCAACATTTGGGTGCAAGGTAAGCGAACAAAGTGTCTTAAATTATCACAGTTGACTGTAAAAAAAGAGAATGTAAAAGATAGAAGTAAAAGAAATACAAGCCTTCCAAAAATATTTAAACACTGTAAGAATTAAAATCTTAGTGATATTTTTAGACTAAATTAAATTAGGTCTCTCAGTTTAAAAGTAACAAAATTAATTTTAGACATTGAACCGACACCATTTGAGAGCCAAATTTTTCATTCGCAAAATAATCTCTTTTACCCTTCAACACATTAGATGGCATCACCAATTTGATTATAATCTCCCGTAATTGGGTGAAAATTTAATAAATACTCCCTAAACTATCAACCATCGAGTCGACTGTTGAAAGGATAACCAAGAAAACATGATATTTTCAATTATTATTAATATCTTATTATGAAAAGTAAGATAAATAAAGTGATTTCTGATTACTGACAAGGAAGGGTTCCAGGTCACTCAGATCGATTTCAATGATTCGTGTCTCATTTTATTTGTGCTAATAACTAACACTAAACTTCGCCATCTTTTGATTCGCAAATGAGGAGAAGGCTCGAAAACGCTATTTATTTCCACACAATGAGATACATTGTCATACACACCATTAAGATAAGCAATGGTATCTCATTGTATGAACCTTTCTGTTTTGTATCCTCATCATGCTAAAATGTAAAAAAATTATTTCTTTATACAGTTTTTCTGGGTTATCTTTGATTTGCGAATCTAAAGCTTTCATTAATTAAATACTCATAGAACCAAATCGTTTTATCATGAAAATATTGATTTTTATCTGACTGGCCTGGGAAGCTTCCCTTTTGAGTAAAGATTTCTGCTCTTCTCTAATCGCAGACATTGGAGCATCAAATTGTGTAATTAATCAAGATTATGGATGAGTTTAAACAATACTTGTATTTAAAATGAACCATTTTCCCAATATTTAATAAGCCATGATTGATCATTTTAAATTAATTAGGATAAACTCAAACCAATCCAAAGATGCTAATGTTTACTTCTTTATTGGAATAAATCCGAAGGTTTTATAACAGGTTTCTTCATTAGTCTACATCAAAAAAACACAAGTGTTCATTGTTTGCATGGCATCTTCTGGGAACAATGAGTATCACTGAGTTATGTGCAAGTAACTTAAAAAATCATTTATAGTTATGTTGTTGAGCTAATTAATGACTCCAGAACAAAAAAGGAAATGATTCCGCCGAAACCCGGGATTGAACCAGGGACCTTTAGATCTTCAGTCTAACGCTCTCCCAACTGAGCTATTTCGGCTTCTATGGAAACCTAGTATTATTGAGATTTTCATTCAATATGCTTGTAAATTAGTTCGTCTATTTTCCATATTTAATAGACATTTAAATTTTGTTTTCAGTCTCTCATTGAAAAAATGTAATTGTTGGTCTCGAATTTAGTTACTAGTCAATTGTTTAATGAGTCTGAATAACGTATCTGTTAGCTGATTTAGCTTATACAGAGGTAAATCTGTTTATATGATGTATTATTGAATCAATTATTCACAACGATGACACTTTGGGAGTAAAATCCTTGAGACATTATTATAGAATCCAAAAGCTGTTTGATTGGTCATCCCTCTTAAAGTGGATGTAATTGGTACATTGTTGTTAATATAGTCCTTTTTTTGTTGTAATTTTTTCTTCATTTGTTTGATTGTTTGGTTTTCAAGATTTACGTTTGTTTAAATGAGTTCTAACAATACTGAAAAAAATGGGAGTAAAAGTGGATCCAAAAAGAACGATAAATCGAAAGTTGATCAATCTAATAATGGTGGGTCATCGGTTTCAACTATGATTGGTAGTACAGCATCTAGTGGGGTTTCAGATGTTAATCAAAACTCTGGAATGTATGAGCAGCTTTGTGAGTTGATAGAGAGTGAGTTGAAATGTGCCATTTGTCAACAGTTGGTTAACAATGCAGTGAATATTAATTGCTCGCACACCTTTTGTTTCAATTGTTTGGCCCAATGGAGACGAGAGACAGGTCGATGTCCTATTTGCCGAGTGAATTATTCCAATCGAAGTCGAGTATTGATGGTTGATAATTTGATTCGCCGGTATTGCCAATTGGCCAATATTAAATTAGAAAAAGTATCACCAATTTCTAGTCCTGTCAGCTCGAGTGATTCAACAATAACCAACGATTCATTCAATTTTATCACATGGCCTGAAAACATTGTTTTACCAACTATCAGAGATGTTGGAGTCAATACATCACCTCGATCTCAAAACAGTGGAATCGTAGAGCCCAGTAGACAACTTCAAATGGAAATATTTCAACCAAGGGAAAATCGACCGGAGAACAATTATTTTAGCTCAGGAGTGAATAGACAAACTCGTCGTAGAAGAAGAAATCGTCGACAGCGCAATCAAGCACGAGCCAATCGTCGTGGTAGGCGAAGAAGGGGTAACCAAGAATCAGGTAAATCAATTTGTATGGCCTCAGTACTTCTACAGTAGATATTAATCATGAATAATTTTAAATAGATGTACGTTCCCCTTCTGACCGAAGATCTGAAGTTAGAAGAAGAAGAGGTGATGTTAATAGATGATTCTGATCAGTGTAATCATGTACAGCACCACAAGAAATAATAACTGATCGTAATATTAAAACCCAATTACATTCTCCACTTGGATTTAAACAAAGAGATTGGAAATGTCTATTCTCAACATTTTTTTAATTTTACTCGCCAAACATCAAATCGATGGTTTATATCAGAATTTGTGTGTAGCTTCATTTTGGATAAAGCGAAATCGTCCGGACATCCTTTTTGTAATGGCATATCCAATGTATTCATAGATTGATCCAAAAAGAAAATTCTTCTAATTCTTGAATGGAGAAGGCCCATGGAACACATTATACAAGGTTCTTTGGTTAAATAAACGTCATGTCCAGTACATAAATAAGCATCAGGGTCGGACTCTGTACTTAACAGTGATGAATTTTCATCAAGTTTTCCTTGATTATACCAAACTCCACCACCTTGAGTTGAAGCCATTAAATCAATCAAATTCATTGAACAATGTCGTAAGGGATGATCATTAATTTTATCACCAGAAATAACCAAAACTTGAAAATTTGATGTTACGATTGCACCATAAGTTCGGTCAACATTTTCCTTTGTCCTATTTACTAAATCTTTCATTGTTTGATAAATGAAAAGTCGATCAGTAGAGTCAAGACAAGTTCCATCGAGTCTATGAGTTATCCTAGAATATGTAAAAGAAGTTTAGTTTTATCGTGTCGGAAGTAAATTGCGTTTTTCTTACTCTTTATTTTCAAAAAAATTTGTTGGCCAAAGGCGTGATGATTTCTCGAACTGCCAACGATTCAGAGGTGCATTACTTGGAACAGCGGTAATTTTCACACTGGAGTACTCTAATACATCAGACAATTTTAGTTTGATTTGGTCTATATCAACTCCATCCACTTTACAAATGATTATTTCAATTTTATCGGCTTCTTTGTCAATTTTAACCCTCTTCAAATGGATCAAATCTTTGGAAATAGGAAATAACTTCGCCAAACTTCTGATGGCAGGTGATATAGCTTTCTTATCTTTCAGAGTCGCCACCAAAACGTTGACTGTAATGAGAAATAAATAAAGTTTAGAAAAAATTGAATTTCACAAAAAAATCTTGTGTGGATCACCTTCACATATATCTTTAGTTTCATATTGATCAGCAAGAATAATCTCTACTGATACTAAACTATCAATATCATCAATCGAACCTTCTGACCCCATCCAAAATTAATGAAAAAACTATAGAAAAAAACAATTTAGAAAATATTCTTCAAGTCTAATTTGGAATTCAGAAGTGATTTCAGCCGCCAATTAATTAACAAAACTTG